CTGTAACTTTTGACCTACATTATATGTATTTACATATTTGTATATATTATTGAAGTAAATATAATTCTCTCCAACTTTCTTTCAGTAAATATTTCTGAAAAATAACAAGGAAGGAGAAAAAAATAACATTTTAACGAAAAATGTCCAGTGAAAATCTTTTTTTCGAACATTATATCTTTTTGAGCGCGGATATCTCTGAAACTATGCGTTTTTTACTATTAATGTATATGTTCAAAGTTGTAGGAAATTTAATTAGCTTTAACTTTTACACTGAACAATTTAAGCTCCGACACGCCGTTTTCAAGTTATAAGCAAAAAACTGCAAATTAAGGCATTTACCCCTCTCATCTCCCCCCACCCCCCACCACCAAGAGCGGCAGGGTGATTTTATTCTCACCTGGTTCATCGGCATGGTAGGTTTTTATCGACGCTTCATCCCCAATGTTGCTGAATTGGCGGCTCCTCTCAATGAGCTTCGGAAGAAGGGCGCCAAGTTTGTCTGGGGTGAAGCGCAGCAGACGTCTTTTGACCTTCTCAAGTAGGCTATCATGCAGCCCCCTGTTTTGGCAATGCCGGACTTCAATCAAAACTTTGTCCTGCAAACTGATGCTTCCTCCGTCGCAATTGTGGCTGTGTTGTCACAAGAGGTGGATGGTATTAGGCAGCCAATTGCGTATGCCTCACGCACTTTGAATTCCTGCGAAAAGAAAAGCGCTTCTGTGTATGAACTCGAGTGTTTGGCTGTCGTGTTTGGAGTCAATAAATTCAGACGCTTTTTGGAGCACAAAGAGTTTTTATTGGAAACCGACAACCAGGCACTCTCGTGGCTTCTTGCACATCCACACCAGCTTGGGAAAATTGGTCGTTGGGTTGTCCAAATATCGTCCCTTAAGTTCCAAGTGCAACACGTTCGAGGCACACAGAATGTGATTGCGGACACACTATCTAGGATGAACCATTCACCCGACGATCATCCTTCTGATCAAGAGCAACCGGGTTGTGCCGTGCTCTTGGAGTTTCCACTCTCTTTCTCTGATTTTATTCACCATCAGCTGAAGGATCCTGAGCTGGCAAAGATTATTGGTGAGCTTCAAAATGGGGGAGCCCACCCCCCATATTTTCTGTCCCAGGGTGCCCTTTGCTGTCGTGCTCGGCAGCGAGGTAAACCTAAAGTTGTGCTGCCTAGTCTTCTAATCCCTATGGTCTATGAGTATTTTCATTCTTCTCCTGTGGGTGGGCATCTAGGTATCCACAAGACCATTGCGAAGGTTAGGGAAATGTTCATCTGGAAGGGTATGGATCGGGACCTTGCTGCTAGGGTGCGTTCTTGTCAAAAGTGCTCGCTAAGCAAGCCCGCTCAAAACACACAAGTTTGGTTTGTTATCATCTGAGGTGGCGGAAAGACCTTTGGAGAAGGTTTTCATTGACTATGTAGGGCCTCTCCCGCGTAGCAAGTCAGGAAATAAGTTCCTACTTGTTTGTGTGGATGCCTTCTCCAAGTTTTGTTGGCTTTTTCCCTTAAGGAATGCCACTGCACAGCTCACCGTGCAGGTACTTTGAACGCACCTTTTCCAACAATTCGGAATACCCGCCATCATTGTTTCCGACAACGGAACACAGTTTGTTTCCCATCTGTTCAAAAGAATGTGCTTTGGGCACGGAATCCGCCATGTGACTACTTCCCCTTACTATCCACAGCCTTCTCATGCTGAAAGGTTCAATCGCAATCTTCGCTCCGCTCTAATAGCTTTCCATGCTGACAGGCAGACCACCTGGGATCAGGAACTCCCCTGGCTTCAGTTTGCTTTCAATACTGCTCACCATGAGAGCCACAAGGCGGTCCCTTTCGAGCTGTTTCTAGGCTATCCGCCTAACAACCCGTTAGCGAATGTGTGGGGAATTGGCGACCTTCTGCCACCTCCTGGTGCGGCTGATGTCAAGGCAACTTGGCAAGCGGCCAGGAGAAACTTGATCAGAGCTAGGGAATTGGTCCGGAGGAAGCACAATCGTGGTAGAATAGACAACCCTTTCCAGGTGGGGGATTTGGTGTTTTGTAAAGCTCATCCGGCCAGTTCGGCTGTGGACAAGAGAGCTGCAAAGTTGTGTCATCGGTGGTCAGGTCCCCACCGCATCCTGAGGTTTTTGACGCCTGTCACGGCGGAGCTAGGAGATCCACGGACTGGAAAAGTGTTCCGGAGGGCGCACATTTCTCATCTCAAGCCCTTCCGCGGAACTCTTCCTCTGGGCAATTTTCTTTTCTCTTGTGTCTGGGTGGGAAGTGCACTGGGCCAGAGAACCTGATCACTTCTTCTGTCCCCTGTGTTCTGCGAAGGAATTTCCCTCACAAAATTTTCTAGCTCTGGCCAGAGCAATCCCTGGGGGTGAGTTTTCCCCTCAGTTTGGAAGTCCCTTGGCGTTCCCCACCACAGACACCTGAGTTGTCTTTCGTGTCAATTTCTCTTCAGGAAGTGGGGGAGAGGCTTGTTTGTTTGTCCCTTTGGAGAGAAGTGTCCTCTTTTGGAGGGGGGGGGGGGGGGGGGGTTGAGCCGTGACTACTTTCCACCGGCGAATGTCACGACTCATAATCAACGCTCAAAGTGTTTTTTGTATAGTTGTTTAGTTGTTCACCTTGTTTGTTTTTTTTTGGTGGGCCGCCCCTTGGGCCTGCACATGGATTCACGCTTCCAAGTCGTTGGCCTGGGTGCAGGCACGAGGGCGTGGTTCAGTTGTTAGTTTTCTTTTATCACTACCTTCAAAACGAGGGGTCACTCAATGAGGCTTAACATTTAAAATTTTTGATTTTCCCCAAAATTCCCCCATTTTAGGTTTGGGAACCAAGTAGCAATTAGGCTCAAAAAGTACTTCATAACATGCCATAAAGGTGTGTAGATTTTAGTTTTCCTACTGTGAGCCGTTACAAAATTTGAAGGGGGTCTCCAGACTTGGAAAGCTGTAAGATAAATTTAACTTCTTAGAATTTCAATTGGCTGCCATTTTTTATTGGATAGAGATAGAGACCTCTAGTTTGCGTTGTTGGTGGTCACTCGATGGTCTTACCTTTTGAAATTTTTGAGTTTCCCTCAAAATCCCTCATTTTGGGGATGTACACCAAGTGGCGGTTATGCCCAAAAAGTACTTCATAACATGCCGTGAAGGTGTGCCGAGTTTAGTTTTTCTAGTATGGGATGTAAAAAAATTAACAGGGTGTCTCCAGACTTTTTACTAACCCTGTATATGGCCTTGTTACAAACCACACATAACCAAAAACTTTTTTATATCTAATCAGAGGTTACAATTCATCTTTACTCTGAAATGTTTGTTTATATTTACATTATCGGTTATAAATCTCTCGGGAGCAGAAAATGTACCTCTAAACCTCTGCTCTTTGAATAAACTGTCAAATTAAAGTATTTACAGCTGATTTCAATTGATTATTTGACTATTTACATTCTTCCAAAATGTAAACATTGAAACTTTGGAAGCCCATGGGACGTAGTCCAATGGAAATATGAAAATAAATGATTTAATATTGCATTGTCATCCATTTGTGAGCTAAGTTTCATGCTTCAAGTCTCTAGCTCATCGGGAAATTAGTTTAAAATCGATTGCAACATTTTTACCGGACAAGAAAGGTAGCTAATAAAATTGTTTTAAAATGGCAAACATCCCTGACTATCACAAGAACATTGTTACCATCACCCAAAATCACGGCAAAACCGTTAACGTCTCTCGCTACGGTATCATAGGGACATCATCATTGTCATCCGCAAGCATGGCAAATTAATAATTGTAGAAAATAAAAATAATTTTTTGTTTTAAAAGAGTTTTTTTGTACTAAACACTGTAGCCCATTATTTTTTCTGCGTCCTAGTGGTAAATCCGTCACTGATTCCGCCACGGAACTGAGCCTACACATTTTGTATATACCTATTATTTATTATTGCTACTTAATTATGCTGGGTTAGGTTGGATTGTTTTACTCGGTTTACTCAGGCGAAACATTGATATCCGACTCCATCAGATTATCGAACAAATAAAGGTATCAATTCGATGGATAGCCAACTTAAACTCAAACGTTGTAACAATTGATAATACAATGCAGTAGCATATCAAGGTTTTGCCAAGTTACTCTATGAATGAAGCTGCATTGATATGATTATTAGAAGTACAGTTGAACCTCGTTTGTACGAACCTCGATAAAACGAATTCCTCGATAAGACAAATTTTTTTAAATCCCCTTGACACTTTCATATAGGTCAATGATAAAAACACCTCTATACAACGTAGTAATTAAGTTTAAAACCTCCATAAGATGAATTTGTTTGTGACATGGGGTAGGACTGATTAACCTCTATACAACGAATATTCTTAGCACAAAACCTCTACAAGACGAACGTGACCTCTATAAGACAAATTTATCATAATCGTAAACTCCATAGTACGTAGTTTTCAAAACAAATAGAAGCTCGTCTCAACATGAAACCCCCACCCATCCCTCCTCCTTCCTCAGTCATTGTTTGGAGAAACCTTGGAGCGAGGAGAAACCTCTATAAGAAGAATAACAGCAGCATTAAACCTCGATAAAACGACCCTCTTTATTAAGAATACCTCTATAGTACGAATTTTTCCCGTACCCCTTGAAATTCGTCTTATAGAGGTTCAACTGTACCTACTGTAGTTATTAGTATTATTGAAGTCATAGACTGACACGATTGAAAACACCGATAATTTGTATGACATGCTACTTGTTGGATGTTCAAGTATCACTGGTAACTTTAATCAGGCTGGTTTAAAATATTTAATTTATAATGTACAATATTATGGAGAAACCTGACTCTGGCATCTTAGCCTTATTAAAAATCTCATGGTCTGGTCCTTACCCAAAAAAGTGTGTGGAACTGCAAGTTATCTGATGCTAATTTTTGCATTTTGAATAATTCATGTTAATTTATTTAGATATGTATACTCTTGAGAATTGATGATATTTTCTGTTTCTATAGAGCTAAAACAATGATCAAAACAAAAGGGCTTCAACTATCCTATGACAAAAGGAAGAAAATGCAAGAGGAAATCAAGTTGGCCAAACAACTCACCCGAAATGCTTTAGATGAACGAAAGAAACAAAAAGAAGAGCTTAGAGAGAGACGTAAAACAAATATAAAAAGAAGGCAAGAAAATGAAAGGAAAGCGGAGATAGTGCAAGTGGTAAGTTCACATTAAAATAAGATCAAATAATAATTTAGTCATATTACCAGAATAATCCTGTTTAGCGATCCACAGCAACAATCGAAAGAAAAATTATAACTTTGCTCTCAATACAAGTACCTAAAAATTAGGGATGGATGAGATTGTATTTTTAGTTCGAGACGAGTCGGGATTTTTTATTTCTCATAAAATTTCGAGACGGGATTTCCCTTCTCATACATAACGAGAAATGCACGTTCGACATTTTTACCTAATTTTGTAACGTTATTAAATACCTACTGATTTATGAGGGATGACTGTTTAAATACAAAAATAACAGGGTAATAATAGGCAAAAATATTTAAAATCTTTTATTAAAAAACATCAGTATAAAATTTTTTTTATTAATTACGCCTACCTTATTAAAAATAGCTCTTGCGCTTAGGAAACATGGTGATATCAGTTAGGATAGAGTTTAACTTTGAAAAATACCAACTTCTAGGTTAGTGTCAAGCAACAATTATTCAATCTTGTGTTATTTTTAGAATTATATTATTGGAGTGACTTGTTTTGGCTATTAAAAAAAGTAAGAAAAAAGTGCTTTATTTTTCAAAATTCATTTACACCCTGTCATATATACAATAACAAAAAACAATGGTTTATTCAAACCGTCTGTTTGGTTGGCACCCTGCTTTGAATGAACATTATTTAAAAACTGTAACATAAATTACCTATTTAACTATACATATTAAAATGACAAGTATTATTGAAATTCAGCTCGTAAAAAAAACTTATCATAAAATAAAATCAATATTAATTTGTAGTGATGGACGAGACTAGATTTTTCACTTCGAGATGAGACGAGACGAGATTTTTTTAATTCCGGCGGGACAGGATTTTTTTTGGGACGAGATTTGATGAAAAGTTATAAATCAAATTAATATATACTTTAGGGATGGACGAGATTGGATTTTTAGTTCGAGACGAGACGAGACGAGATTTTTTATTTCTCATAAAATTTTGAGACGAGATCGAGACGGGATTTCCCTTCTCATACACAACGGGAAATGCACGTTCAAAATTTTTACCTGATTTTGTAACATTGTTAGATGACTGTTTAAATACAAAAATAATGACAATAGGCAAGAATATTTACAATCTTTTATTAAAAAACATCAGCATAACATTTTTTTATTAATCACGCCTAACTTATTAAAAATGCCTACGATTAGGAAACATAGTGATATCAGTTAGGATAGAGTTCAACTTATCCTAAAATAAAATAAATCATAAAATAAAAGCAATATTAATTTTTATAAAATAGTTAGCCTACTTGTTTAGACTTTTTATCGTAATAAAACATTCATCACACTGCTTACACTTAACAAAACTTCTCAAATGTTATTAAAGTAATATTATTAAAATAATTAAAGTAATATTTACATTTAAAGAATTAATTAAATAAGAACGCCTTCGCAAAGGAAACGCAACTACAACACGCTCCTGTATTGCGGGTATTGCATTGACTTTCTGCAGGAGTTTTTAATTTTTTTTTTTTTATTTTTTTATTCTCGTCTCGATAAAAATCTTGGCCAAAAAGAAATCTCGTCTCGTGTAACGAGATTTAAAATTTCCCGAAAATTTCCCGAAATTTTGAGACTTGACCATCCCTAATATACTTTTTAAGTTCAGGAATATTTACAAGTTTTAAAAACTTAACAAAAAATATACAAAAATATTTCAAATCTTTTATTAAAAACATTTTTAAAAACATCAGTATATAAAAAAAATATTAATAAGGACTAACTTATTAAAAATAACTCTTCGGCATGAAACATGGAGATATCAGTTAGTATAGAGTTCAACTTTGAAAAATATCAAAAACAACAGTATTACTAGTTGTTATGTATCAAGTAACAATTTTTAAGTCTTGTGTTATTTTTAGAATGATGAGTGACTTATTTTGGCTATGTTTACAGTAGTAAAACATGTCTCACACTAACAAAACTTCTCATTATTTGCTATGTAAAAAAAATTTTTTAAACAATTGAAGTAATATTTCCATTTAAAGAATAAATATCTATATATTAATACGCAAGCAGTTTTCTTTTCACAGCCATAACTCGATAACGGCTTAAAGACGGATTTTAACGTTTGAGATGTCAAATTAAAGGTATTTTCCCGTAGATGTGCAAATACGTCTCAGAGTATTAAGAAAGGGCATCACTTAAGTACTTTTAAGGGATAAAGTTTAGGAATGGTGGTGCTATCTGTTGACAATAGATACAACTCAATTCCCTTTGTTTACAACTAAACATATGGACGTAGTTTGAAATAGTTTTTAAGTTTAACCACAGACTGCAGGACATATTACTTCCAGAGCAAAGCCAGAATTTATATTTATTTAAACATCTGTTTACTAAGTCTGGTTCGTAAATAAATAGTTTCCTAGCAAGACTTGACAACAAATTGTTTGTAATAGTTCAATTTATTTACCTTACATCGTATTTTACTGAATTATCATGCAATTTTGGTTACAGCTTGGTGTGATGACGTGAATGTTTGAAAGTGATTATTCACAGCGCAGTCACCCTTTACATTACCATATTATCATGTACAGTAATTTACAATGTGTAGGCCTACCGGTATCAAAATTCCTTTGTAGTGTTTTCTGTTGTTTGGTTAACTTTCGTATTTGATCTAAATTTAAAATTAAATGCCACCAGTAAGACGAAGAACTGTGAGTAGCTGGAGGGAACGTGAACGTGACCGCTTGCATCAACCTCCCAATTGATCATTTGATGAATACAGAGTGGCGGTACCACAGTGGTGATACATCCAACCTCGAACAAATGAACATTAAATGTTTACATTGTGGTGGCATACATTTTAAACAAGAAAAAACTGGGCGAGACAGTTCCAATTTTACTCTTTGTTGCCATAAACGAAAGGTTTGTTTACCTCATTTGTGGAATTCACTATACTTTCAGAAACTTATTGGAAACTCCCAATCTAAAAAAGGGCTGTGAAACTTAATTACTGAAATTATTTGGATAAAATTTGTCAATAAATCCCGCCGTTGCCATGGTCAGCTCTAAAGGTCATTTAGATGAGAGGATCACACATGGGATCTACAATTTCGAGATCCATGACACTTTTACTACTGGATAGGTCTTATAATTACTGAAGGAAGGTCATGGTCCGGAATATGCACAGATGTATAAGTACGACGTTTGCACTGGAACCCAACAGCGCATGAAACACAATTCAAACAAAAAAATGCAATGAAAAATATGCGGGAAGTAGGGTCACAATGCCAACTCATTTGCCCAATCTTTTAAAACTGTTACAGAAGTTTGTAGGGAAGAGAGCTCCAAGGAGTCAAGTGAGATTCCTACGTGCATAGTCAGAGACAAAAGAAGTGGCTTTCTTCATTCCAATGATGCTATCTGTATAGATATCGCTGCTATTTTTAAAGCTGAATACAAAGCACCACTTGGCCAACAAACTAATAATGTTTTTTAACACGAATCCGTTTTAGATCCGTCGTTATATCCATTTGCTTACCCTCTTATGTTCTCAACCAGAGACTTTGGTTGGGGCGCATAATTTAAACACGCCTAAAACAGAATATATCGTAGAAATAATTTAATAATCAGTGGCGGATTTACCTACGGCGCCGCCCCTAGGCCCGTTCGGCCGGCCGCCCCTTTGTGTTTCACGAAAAAGGAAAGGAAGTCTCTCTCTCACGCTTTTCCTTAAGTTTGCGTAATGCTGCACCACTTAACCTAACCTTTTTCACTCATTATTATTATTTTCTTTATGCATAATTACAAAATTAAAATGAATAAAAAAGTAAAACAACCAATAGCGGTTCCAAAAAAAGTTAGTTTTTCACATAAATAAAATAAATAGGGCCTGTTATTAATACATTTTACATTTTAGATTAAATAAACATATAGGTTATTGTTCTGCCAAAACTTAAATAACTTATGACTGCCTTTAACACGTCCACTGTATCATTACAAAAAAGTAATAAATAAGCCTGTTTTATATTGTCATTCAATTATGAGTAGCCTACTTTAATCAAGAATGAATAAAATGGGCGAAATTTTGAGCAATGACTTAATTGCCTTATTTACTAACCAACATTTTCGTAGGCGGTTGACAACAAAATTCACTATACTGAAAGATTTTAAATTTAACATTCAAAACAGCTAACAATAATTTTTCTTATAATATAACTGCCAGGGCTGCCCCAAGGACGGCGCGTGCAGGGTGGCCGCACGGGGGGCCGCGGCTTTGGAAGGTTAAAAAGTTTAACAACGTTATCAGCAAACCGCAAACGAATATTTTACAGGAAACTCATAAAACATGTAATCACACACACTGCGTAAGTGCGTATTCGCCCCCACACGACCCAGCCCAACCTACATTTGCTTGTTTCTAACCTCAAAACTCAAACTTTTACATCAACTCATAGTCGTTTTGTGATGTCCGTTGTGAGTCGTAAATTCAATGTTTTTAGTAATTTTGTTCGGTGTAGTTGTTACGTTTATAAAAAAATACTTGCAAAACGTTCAATATTGATATATTGGACGTTGAGTCTATTGACGCAAACCCCCCAAATACATGTTTTGGTGAGGGGGCAAAAATTTAAATCTTGCCCCAGGCGTCTATTACCATTACCCTCGGGGCGGCCCTGATAACTGCCACTAGAAATACAACACAGGTACTGTAAATGACACACTGCATCTGCACGTCGCGACATGAACGTGAGTCGTCTTAACCACTTAAGGCAACAGCCATACGGGTTTTTTTCACGCTCAAACGCAGCGTAAATATGAGTAGTATTAAATGTAATGGGGAATGAATGCCATACGCCCCTCACGCAGTATGTTTTTCCACAATAGCGGGCGCCTATTCGTTTAAATACTACTTTAATTTTTCGCATGTTTTCAAGCTGCATTTTTGCATGAAAAAACCACCCGTGTGGCCGCAGCGCCGCAGCCTATCACCAC